CCCCCCACGTGGCTCTGCATACTCGTTCCCGTCCAGGTCCGGCCACAACAGAAACAGAATCATGCCACAACCATCACAAGGCCCAGGTAGGGAGAGGGCCTCCCGGCCGAATGCCTGCCCTCCATCAGCTCTGCTCTGGAGCCCCACACCACCAGCTCCTGCCTCTTCCAGACCAGACTCTCTTCCTCTTCCTCAGAGCCCCACCCATGAACGTCCTGGCATCACTTCCACCCTGAACAGCCCACCCTCGCTCCAGCTCTGCCTCTGTGTCCGGGCAACCACCCTCCACTCCCCACCCCCGGCTGCCCCGACCTCATCTCATCCTCTCCCAGAAGCCTGTTCCCACCAGGTTGGCCACTTCCCTCACGGTCCCACCAAGAACTGCAGCCCACGTGAGTGGTCTTGAGCCCGCACCCACTGTCTCTGAATCCTTTTCTGCTTCTCCCTGACACACCCAGCAGCCTGCACAGCTCCTCCTGCATGGAGTTGGCCCCGGTGCCCACCTCGGCTCAGCCCTTCTTACGGCACACTTTCTTCTCAGCCTCCTGGAGCCCCCACAACCCCCAAGCCCTGGCTTACTGGACCCCAGGTCACTTCAGCTGCTCCCTGCCTCACCCTCCGCCGGGACTTGGCTCCCCATCATCATCTCATTCAGTCTTGACCTTGGGAAGAAAAGCCTGCATGTGAGACTGGGAGGAACCACTGGGGCCTTTCCACAAGTGGAAAGCTGGTAACTTCAGAACTAACAGAGAGACAAGAGAAATGGCACAATTGAAACAAAAATCAACCCAAAAGAGGGCAAGAAGAAAGGGCAAAACAGCACTGGCTTCAAAAGGCTGGGCCTACGGCCTGAATGCGATTTATTTATTGGGATTGGGGGCCCCAGTGAGGCTGGGAGGCCAGGCCTTTAAGAGGTAACGAGGCTCCGAAGATGGGAGCCTCGCCTTTCTCCAAGACGGGGTCAGTCCCCCAAGAACAGACCTGCTCCCATGTGGGCAGCCTGGTCCGCAGCAAGAGTCTGCGCTGGAGTATCTCACTCTGTGCGGTTCCCGGCTGTGTGTGGGCACAGCACGCGGCCTCTCCAGAAGTCTCCAGAGGCAGCCCCTTGACCTTGGGTTTCCCAGCCTCCAGAACTGTGAGAAATAAATTTATTTTCTTTATAAATGATCTGGCCTCAAGGATTCTGTTACAGCAAGAAAAAATGGACAAAGACAGCTAGAAATTAAAACTATACGACATTAGATATAAATAAGAGCAAGACTAAAAGTTCCTATTAAAATACCAAAATTGTTAGACCAAATTTATAAAAAGTCAAGTTCTGTGTTTAAAACACGTATATCCGAAAAGGAGGGGAAGAAAGTCAGACTAAAAGGAGGGAAAAATCATTCCAGGCAAATAGTAACAAACATCATCAGTGACGACTCCGTCGCCGGAGAGCGGGTAGGTGTGAGTGCAACAGACGGAGCGCCATTGCTCTCTCCTTCTCGGCCCTAAGGAAGGTAGAGACGGGTGCAGTCCGAGGGGACAGGCCCCTCCCAGACAGCGGTGTCTGGGGGCCCCAACAAAACAGCAAGGCCTGGAGGTCACCCTGCAGTGACCAGCCCCCGGCAAGCAGGAGCTACCGCCAGCGTTTAGTAGTTTGACAATAAAGAAGAGTCATGGGCGTTTGAGGAGAACCTTTAGATAAGAAAAACTAAAACAGAGCAGCATAACACTTCAGAAAAACCATAAGAGCTTCAGAGAAAAGGAACTATCCGAGAGCAGAAAGGAATTCTTGGGATTTGAAAATGTGACCTCACACATTAAAAATCCCCCAGGAGCTAGAAGCTGAAGTTGAGAATGCTGCCTAGATGGCAGAAGAGAACACAGCAGGAATCAGTTTGGAAGGTCCCACGCCTGAATTACGAGAGTCCTAGAACGACAAAGCTGAGACGGGCAGAGGGGACCCGGGCACTGAGACGGGCAGAGGGGACCCGGGCACTGAGACGGGTAGAGGGGACCTAGGCACAGAAGTCACACAGGAAATCCTCCCAGGACAGACAGCATGGATTTCTGTATTGAAAGGGCACACCAAATGCACCAAACGCTCCGGCGAGTCTAAAAGGCCCCACGCTACAACAAGGTGCAACTTCAGCCCAGTGGGGTTCAAGGAAAGCCCCTAAAGTTTCCAGAAATAATAGGTCACATCCAAGGGCTCAGAAGTCAGACTGCACCAGACTCAAACCTGGCATTTGAGAAACAGGGGCCCCAACACAGGGATCAGGGAACGTCACGGAGGAGAAGTGGCGTCGTGTGTCTGAGCACTGAGCCACACGGGCAGTGTGCAGAGGGTCTGGAATAAATCAGCAGGAGGCAGAGTCAACTCAAGCAACCGAAACACACGACAGTGACTAACGTGACACAGCACGCCCTTGCAGAATACAAGGTGGCTTAAAAATGCTCACGTGGTCTGATTTACACACAAAGGGCGTCCATGCCTAGTGCTTGCCTCCCGAGGATGGAGTCATGAGTGACAAGAACCAAAGCCAGGGAAAGCAAATCAAGAAACAGCCGAGAGGCAGCATGCTCTGGTCAGAGGCCGCGGTACACGCAGGAGGAAGCAGCGGGAAGCCCTGATGTGCTTGCAGGACTGGGGTCAGAAAGGCTGATTCTGGGTCTGCTTCACGGCACTGAGTAACTTTTAAACCGGAAGAACCACGAACATGGTCTCATTTCACGGTGATAGCAATGAAAGGGAGCAGGTGAAGGGCCTCAGGAGGGCGCTGTGCCTGCCGAACCTGAACCAGCATGTGGCAGATGTCCACGTGTCCAGCCTCCGCCGCGGCATGCAGTGGGGAACGCTTATTCTGGTGCTCCATTTTGAAGTTGGGGTCAATTCCGTCCACTGTGAACAAACACAGGTTTATTAATTAGTTCAGATGTACCAGCTCCGGACGGTCACCAAGGCTGCCAAGTGCTCTCACAAACAAGCAGCTTCCATACAAAAGGCCACCTCAAGCCGCCCGGAACCCGCCCACGGCACCGTCCTCTGGCCTTTGTCCTGCCAGGAGGACGTGAGAGGAAGTTGCCAGGCTCCTGCAGAACCTAACGGGCAGGTCCGTCTGTCAGAACTCACTCAGCAGTGCCTGTTCTTCCCTTTACCGCCTGCTCTAACTCAGGCTCTTTCTGTGATCCCAGTGGCCTGGCCACAGCCGCCCCAGGCCCTGAGAGGGGGCGGGCCAGGGCAGACACACCCTGGAGGAGCAAGCCAGACCAGGCACAGAAGCCTGGATACCAGTCAGTTTCTGGGAGGTCGGAGTGCACAGGGAGCTGTGGGGCAGGAGGTGGCCTCAGTGTCGGGTAAAATCTATGAAAAAGTGATTAAAGCTGCCATTTTGGTCAACATAAATAAACCTTTAGTTTTTTGAGATGGAGTCTTGCTCTGTCGCCAGTCTGGAGTGCAGTGGCATGATCTCAGCTCAATGCCACCTCCACCTCCCAGGTTCAAGCGATTCCCCTGCCTCATCCTCCCAAGTAGCTGGGATTACAGGCGCATGCCACCACGCCCAGCTAATTTTTTGTATTTTAGTAGAGACAGGGTTTCGCTGTGTTGGCCAGAATGGTCTCCATCACCTGACCTTGTAATCCATCCACCTCAGCCTCCCAAAGTACTGGGAGGTGTGAGGCACCACACCCGGCCAAATAAACCTTTTCTTGAGAGCAAACAGTTTAACGTCTTTTATGATGTACTGTCAGGTCAAGGGCTTCTTAATCACCCTTTTCAACCCACAGAAGATGAACGTCAGAGAAATCAAGCCTAGAGCTATATGAGCTCAGAGATGAAATCACCACTGGGAAGGCTCTAACAAGCATGCTTTTAGGCACTAGACATCTAAAGCAGTCCGTGTGTCTGTTGTCAAATACCTAAGTCGACACCTGGTTAGTCCACACCACCGGGGCCGTCATCACCACACACCTCAGCAGGGCCCCAGCTCACTAATTTCGCTTTTCCTCAATCCACATTTCTGCTTGACTTAATAATGCATACCTAATTCCTTTTTAAAAATTAGAACGTCATAGAGAATAGTTCTAACATCCTGCATAACTGAACATGAGCACCATAAGAAAGCTAAACACCAGTGGCCAACCTACTCTCACTCATCAGAGACTCAGAAACAGAAAGGCAACATGAGAGCAGCCTCTGAGGAAGGGGAACAACCACTCTCCACTCCCTTCAGTGCCCCGGGCAGCAGGAAGGCACTTACCCAGCATGAGGAGCACCTTCTGAAGCTCCCCTTGCCTGGCGGAGAAGTACAGCTGCTTTGGGTGGAAGCGAAGCTTCTTGGGTCTGTGGGAAGCACAGGACAACAGTCAGCATGGGGCGTCATGTCCCATGTGTGAAGCTGAAGGCTGGAAGGCCTGGGGGACATCTGCCCACCAACCCCTCAAGCTCAAGCACCAAACCACCAGTCTTGAGATATCTCATAGTAAAAAGTGCAGAACAAGCAACTGAGTTCCCAGTCACTGCAGGAGAACGCTACGCACTGTGAGGCTTTTACACAACACGACGAAAGAACCAGCGCAGGATGCAGGGGAGCGGGGTCGTCTACGCTCAGCACAGCCAGGACCAGCCCCAGCCAAGATGAGCCCACATAGCGTGGTCACCAGTGGGGGCACGGCTCACACAACAGAAGCTGCCTGGGGCAGTGAGAGCTGAGAACAACCGCACCTTCACTTTGAAACCTTAACTCGATGGCTCAGCTGATCACTGATACGGTTTGGACCTGTGTCCCTCTCAAATCTCATGCTGAAATGTGACCTCCAGTGTTGCAGGTGAGACCCAGTGGGAAGTGACTGGACCCTGAGGGTGGCTCCCTCACGAATGGCTTAGCAGCATCCCCCGGCTCAGTCAGTTCCCACAAGATCTGGTCGCCTAAGAGTCTGGGAGCCTCCCCTTCCTCTGTCTCCTGCTACAGCTCACACTTTGCCTTCCACCATGACTGTAGTTTCCTGAGGCCTCCGATGGAACGGATGCCAATACCATGCTTCCTGTACAGTCTGGAGAACCATAAGCCAATTAAACCTCTTTTGTTTATAAATTATCCAGCCTTGGGTATTTCTTTATGTGACACAAAAGCAGACTAACACAGTAACCAAGGGATGGGGGAGAAAGCAGGGTCAGAGCAGTCTGGGGTCTGGGCAGTGGGCAGGGCATGTGGGCTTCAGTAGATGGCACCCTCGCTGCACGTACAGGCTCGGAGGCGAGGCTGGAGGCAGACAGAGGAGAGCTGCAGGGAGCAGGCCACCCGCAAGCCTCAGTGTCACAGTCTGGTCTGCCTCCCTAGCGGGGGCAATGCCAAGAGAAGACAGGAGGATGAGAGGCGCAGTGTCGGTGAGCTGTCAGGAGAGCCTAGAGGGTCCCTCAGCCCAGCCCTTGTACTGCACGGATGGGGCAGGGCCGGGAGGGAAGCAGCCTGGGCATCAGCAGCAGTTTCTGCTCTGATGACCGAAGGGCAGCTCAGGGCCAGCGGCAGCTGGGAGATGCTTGTAAAGCCCACCAGGACCGCCTCCTCACTTAGGACTTCAAAGGTGTCACATGTTGCTCTTAGTATAATGCAGAGGACAATAATTTGCAATAATTTCCCAAAATAGTGTGAAAATACACGAATTATTCTAATGAACAGCATTAATCAAAAAGCTGAAAACTGCTAAGTGACGCCATGGGGAAAAACACGGGGTGCAGATGAGAACAGGCTCTGAGACATCTCTGAAATCACACGTCAGTTCTTACTTTTCCGAGTCGAGAGCAATAAGAGCACTCTCCAAGGTTTCCTTTCCTGGTCCCTGGGAAAGGCCGGGGGTCGGCCTCCCGAGGCCAGCAGGTCCCGACGGATCGAAGCCCTCGGGCGCATGGGAGGCGGGGCCTGGCAGCTTGTCGTCCTCCGAGAGTGGTGGTCCAGCCGCACTTCAGGGGAGGAAATCGGGAAACGTTTGATGAAAACATTAAACACGACTGGTCTGACTGCCCAAGTGTGCTGTTTCTCTAGGCGAGAGCTCCACATTTGCTTCCTGTCTGCTGAGTCCCTGGATTAAACGGTTCAGGACTCAACCACATTTCCTGAGAACACGCAGGTAACTTCTAGACTTCGGCACCACGTGTTCAGATACCCTCTCATGAATAAGCTTCACGCTGAATCTATCAAGTCTACTGCCCACCCCAACAAAAGGAAATCCCACTGGAATTTTGATTCAAAGTGCATTAAATTTACAGGTTAACAGGAAGGAATCACCTTAACATGCCCACAATTCGAGTCTCTTTTAAATAATCTTCAGTGAAGTGTGAGTTTTCTTTATGTAAGTCTCACATTTAAGTTCTTTTCTTCTGCTGGGCAATAACAGGTTTTATTGTTGTTTTGAAAAAATCTCTTTCGTTATTGTGTTTTCCAGTAGGGTACTGCTGGAAGGAGGAAGGCAAGTGACTTCTCTCTCTTCTTATCTGATTCTCTTACTCTCTTGAGTACGACTCTTTTGAGCTCTAAAACTTTTTCGGCTGTTTCTACTGGACTCCTCCAGGAAGACAATTATTTGTGTCTAATACAAACACTTCTAATTATTTTAGACTTTTTGTCTTCAGCTAAAGCCTTCAAAGCTTAATGCCACATAACTCAGTCACAGACTGCGGCAGCTACCACTCCTCCAGGGCTTGTGTCCGACAGGGGACGTGCCACCAACAGAAACACCACAGAGCTACATCAGCGGGGTGCTGTGAAGCCGCCTCAGAACAGGCAGGGGGACCTACACAACCAACTGAAAGACAGAGGCCTCTGTGCACATGGCAACACATGATTTCTGAGTCTTAAACGTCAGAAACCACCACGAGCATCAGGGGCAGCTCAGAGACTTCTGGAAAAAACAGCAGAAAGCCATCATGTTAAATTAACAACCAACACCTTTTCCGGTGCACAGCTGGAGACCCCAGCCAGAGCCTGTGCCAGGTACCTGCCCGTGGTGGTGTCGGCCCTGCCCTCCAGGGCAGAGCCCTTCTCCTGCCCGGGGCCTGGCGTCACCGTGGAGGTGGTGTCTGCTTTAGCTATCGTCACCTCTTTGGCCTTGGAGCTCTCCTCCCCGCAGTGGGGGCAATAGCTGGCATTATTGACTCGAGAGGCACAGTCTTTGTGGAAACGGTGAGAGATGCTGCTCTCAGGCTGACACTCCATAAAATTACCCTAAAAATGGGAGGACAAAAAAGTTTTTTTAATTGGGGCTAATATTTAGAAAAATAAAGCACTACGAAACGGGCACTGCATCCCCGCTGGGTGGTCTGGAGAGTGAGCCATGGTGAGGGTGGGGTCCAGTGTGGGCTGGAGAGTGAGCTGCGGGTCCGCTCCGGCCTGGAGAGTGGGCATGGGTTGGAGTGAGGTCCAGTCTGGGCAGCAGGCATCATTAAGGAGGAGGAGCAATGCTTCCGGAGGTGCTCTCACCCCACAGAGAGGAAGCTAAAGCTGGACAGAGGTCACTTGGCTGCCTCCATCCCCTGAGGCCCAGGAAAGCTGAGGCTGCCCACAAAGAGAAGGCCTAAAGAAGGATCCAGAAGGCCCCTACCCTGAAGGGCAAATAAGGATGGAGCTGGACGACAGAACCTCGGGGCAGAGCATCAGGCAGGTGGGGCTGTCCCAGTGCCCGGCACTGCTCAGCAGATGTGGTTGAGTGATACGGGTGAGCCTCAAGGGGGCATACAGCCGTAAGAACGGCATTTTCTTGCGGAAAGCCAGAGATAAACTGATGTAGCAGAAGCAAGAAAGGGATGTCCATCTGAAGACGGGGAGGACATACAAGCTGTGAGTCCAAAGAAAAGCCCCCAAAGTGGAAGCTCTTGGTCCGGGTTCACAAAGGGGCAGCAGGGCATCTCTGGGTACCTGAGGCTCACACCCAAACACTCCACACGCAGGTGTACACCGAAGCTCACAGGCAGATGCACCCGTGCGCGTGTGTGCGCACACACACACACACCCTACCTGCATGAGGACGCCCACACAGGGGAGCTCCACAGGGAAGCAGCCCATTCTCGGGGGGCCCTGGGCACAGCTGAGCACAGATGTTTGACAAAGAAGTAACTGATGACCCAAGATCCCAGCAGAAACAGCCCAGGGCACAGCAGGGGTGGTGACACCTCTCCCAGGAGCTGCCTGGAGTCATGGGGGCTGAGTGTCCTCAGTACAGCCTTGTCATGGGGTGAGTGTCCTCAGTACAGCCTAATCATGGGGGTAAGTGTCTTCAGTACAGCCTCGTCATGGGGATGAGTGTCCTCAGTACAGCCTCGTCATGGGGGTGAGTGTCAGTACAGCCTCGTCATGGGGTGAGCGTCAGTACAGCCTCGTCATGGGGGTGAGCGTCAGCACAGCCTCGTCATGGGGGTGAGCGTCAGCACAGCCTCGTCATGGGGGTGAGCGTCAGTACAGCCTCGTCATGGGGGTGAGCGTCAGTACAGCCTCGTCATGGGGGTGAGTGTCAGTACAGCCTCGTCATGGGGGTGAGTGTCTTCAGTACAGCCTCGTCATGGGGGTGAGTGTCAGTACAGCC